CCTTGACAGGATTAGATTTTTTGGGAGATCTGGCTGATATAAGATGACACATCTACTGTAACAATGTATTATTAAATTCAGTGAAGGTGCATTTAGGTTTTGCATTTTCAGAGTGCCATCTAGCTAATTATGTGAAGCACATGCAGATATGTATAAAAATCCTAAAAACTAACATTTTCAATTAAAAAAAAAGGATTCTTAATCAGTTTTTGAGTGTATGCCACAGAAAATACAAGGTTCAAAGTTTCCCATCATAATAACATTTATATGTACATCAACAAGAAGCCGTTAAGAAGCCTTTAATTATTTCAGCTCCATGAATTATGTACAGCTACATCTCTATCTACTACTAGCCTTTGGATGTATCAGACAGCTGACTGGTTGTCAAGGCTAAAGAGAACTACTCAAGCAACCATCAATTTGGTTAGAATAATGTTGTAATACATGGCATGTTAGTGTTAGTATCAATGGACTGTATCAAAATAATAATTTTAATCATCTTCCTCCAGGCCTATGGGGTAAACAAGTAACATTTGCAGAATTGAAGCTATTTGTAGCTCTATGATTGAGTTTCCTACTGTCTGATTCACTCTAAAGACAAAATGTGATACTATCAAGACAGCAACCCAATTATTTGTATTTATGTGGTGCAAATTTGACAAACGTTTTAAGCTTATTTAACTAATTTTGTTTGAAATGGCATCTAGATAAATATATTGAAATATAATTATTGTAAGATAGAAATGATATTATGACACCACAGCTGTATAAGTTTTTAATTACTTGCATTTATAGGTACGGTAATCCAATTTTGCATTGAAACATACTTGTTCTACCTAGGTATAGTGACAAAAGTGACATATTCTGCAATTATTCGAATTCATTTTATGGGTTCAGCAGTTTAAACTTATAAATGAATAGTGTCAATATTCTTTGTTTATTCTGGGTCTCAAGTGAGGTATTTTCATACTTTACAAAACAAATAATAACTGCTAGTAATAAGGTTTCTTTTAAAGTTGATGTCATAAGCTGATGAAGATGAGGATACACCATGTCTGCAGGGTTTGCTTTTCATGTAGTCTCAAAGAGAAAATGAACTGGAACTGGCAATATATTACGTGTACAAATGGGACCTCCTTTTTGTACTAAAGTGGGAGTGCTGCCAGTGTGTGATAGTTACCTTTTTAGTTTTACCATGCCAAGGCCAATAAAATGCCAATAAAGTTCCATTTAAAGTATTCTGCGCATAACCTGAAACACATTTTTAAAAAGTATATTGGGAAATTTATCAGGTGAGATTTAACTTGGGAGCTTTGGGTATGAGGACTTTCATAAAAATCTGTCTTTATTGAACGTTATTGATTTTACAGTGCTTTAAAAATTGTGCATCTATTCAGACATGTCAATTGTGACATTCTATTAAAGAAGAAAAGTTGCCAATTGATTATATTATAACTAAAGTTAACCTTATATGGAAAATATGCAGGTAATTGAAATTATTAAAAATATATAAAACCTCAATTTTTTATGTACAAAATACTCAAAGAGACATTAGCCATATCTATTGTTATTGTACATTGAAGTGTCTTAATTACAGTAAATACAAGCCATTTAAGGTATGGTCGGTTTGAAAACTAAAATGCAAAATCAAGTTATTTGTGTATTTCAATAGTAAATAGAAGGTGAAAAGCTGTCCATTATTTAGGACAGCAATAATTATGGCAAGAACGGTGATGTGCACAAATAATGTATTGCCCATTATTTAAATTGTACAGTGCAATCTCGGGAAGAAATAATAACAAAAATTGTGTTGAGCAAGTTATACTAGTACGTCAAAATTTCTATGCCTCCAGTGACTGCCATCTTTGATCTGATTGTAAAACAAACTGTCATCAGCATTTGAATGGAAATGACAAAATATGTTTTGATACAACACTTTCAAAATACAAAATGGCTGCCAATCGAACATTCTGGATCAAATCACAAAACCACTGCAAGTGCATATGTCGAACATAAAGTACAGGGCACATGCAAAGAATGAATAGATTTGGTGAAAAGTGTTCTGACGGATGGATGGAGATCGAATTACAAGTCTCTGTTTTGAACTTTGTTCATAGGTAATAGTGTAAAAAATGGAAAGAAGGAAGTTGAAATAAAGGTGAGATTAAAGATAAAATGGATGAAGAGAAAAGTGAACAGAGTGTGAGAGAAACGAATTGGCTAGATAAGATTACCATCAATACACTAAAATACAACTGCATTAAGCCGGATTAGATTAGTATGAAAAGGAACAAACCTTAATCCGTTTATACAATTCTAAGAAAACCACATCAAATCAGTCAATTACTGCCGAATAATTCCATCTGAGAACCAAATGCATGATAAAATGTATGGAAGACAAGGAATCATGACAGTAGATGAAAAGAGTTTGACTTTCCAATAAAATGTGAAGAGGTCAAGTGAATATTAAACCAAGCGCAAGATTGGATAAGGTTAGAGGTCGGGATTGATGATAAAAAAAGAAACTGTGGAATTGTTGATGGCAATCTAAAGAGTACTTTAGAAGGGATGAGAATTGAAATACCATGACCTGAGGGAATTCAGATCTCCAGCATGTGCTATAATACAAAACTTTTACAAGTTGTCAAAGTGATATTGTGTTGACATTTGAGATAGCAAGGAAGATTCAAAATGTCAAAGAGTTGAGGTGACTGTTCTGGGAATTGAACACAGGCGAAGTAAAGGAAACAAAATATATGAAGGCAGCAGGAGATGACACTAGCAACAACATTGTTATTACCAGTATTACTACTACTACGGGTTGTTTACATTACAGTTTCTGTATAATCTAGTTTTGGGTTTTTTAAAAATGTTTTTCCACTTAATGTTAAAGATGGATACGGCTTTGCTAAATTATACACAGTAATTTGCTATTTAAAGGGTGGTGGTTGTCGCGTCACGTTCTGTTCGATATGGGACTCACAGCGGCGTACACAACGCATGTAAAATATATTGTTTATTTACACGTACATGAAATTCGAAGACACACAGTGCAACAACCGCCTTTTAAACATTAAACAAGCAGCCTCTCGGCTGAGATAGCTCCGCTGTTAGCAATGCACATTTCAATTAAAGAACAGAAGATATCATTAGAAAATGAACAATATGCATAGTATCAATGCAATGGGACTTGCTGTTTTCAACAAGAATTCAAAAATATCATTTTTCACCATAAATGATTGTGGTTTTTAACAAGAAGAAAATATCACTTTTTACCAAAAATGACAAAAATATTCATCAAAATTAGAGAATTGAAGATATCATCATGAAATGAACAAATTTGAGAGTTGTGCACATGTAGTACCTATATATGTAATATCAAAGCAATTGGACTTGTGGTTTTTAACAAGAAGTTGAAAATATCACTTTTTACCAAAAATGACAAAAATATTCACCAAAATTAGAGAATTAAAGATATCATTACAAAATGAACAAATCTGAGAAAGGTCCACATGTAGTACCTATATATGTAATATCAAAGCAATTGGACTTGCGTTTTTTAACAAGAAGTTGAAAATATCACTTTTTACCAAAAATGACAAAAATATTCACCAAAATTAGAGAATTAAAGATATCATTACAAAATGAACAAATCTGAGAAAGGTCCACATGTAGTACCTATATATGTAATATCAAAGCAATTGGACTTGCGTTTTTTAACAAGAAGTTGAAAATATCACTTTTTACCAAAAATGACAAAAATATTCATTACAATTAGAGAATTGAAGATATGATCATGAAATGAACAAATCTGAGAGAGGTCTACCCAAGGTACATATACACCAAGTATCAAAGCATTCAGGCTTGTAGTTTTCAAGAAAAAGTCGAAAAAGTAAAACATTGACACAGATGCCGAGGGACAATCACTCATATGATAAGCTCCGCTCGACAAAGTCGACAGCGGAGCTAAAAAATGATTAAGGGAGAACTGTTTTTTGAATTTTGGTATTAATTATGACCAATTTTTAATTTAGGGGTTAAAACTAAAGTTTAATAACAGAGACATTTGAAATGTCTTTGACTACCCATTATTTTTATTTGAAGAAACATAGGATTTTCACTAGTTAACACTAGTTGTGGATCGAGGCATATACCCACGTTTACGCATTCATGTTATAATAGTCAGATTAACCAGACAGTACCAAAAATGGAAGAAATTTTGCCAGAAATTAGCAAAAGTGGTAAGAATTATCAGAATTCAAATGGCATGACAAATATTTCAGTATGGGCTGTACTCAAAACCTAGATCCACCACTGAACACATGTTTTACATATACTCGTAATGTAAGACTTTCTATACATGTATCTTAAGTGAACTTTTTAGTTTGACC